TGACCCTCTTATTTGGAGATGCTGCATATCTAGATTCCTGAGAAGTCAGAATTGGGTGCTGCCTGAGTCCCTAACTCTCACTATACTTTAACCCCGTCCAGGCCAAATCAGATCCGCTGGAATCGCGGGAATGAATCTTTGCCGGAGCGGGCCGAAGCAGTCGGTGAGACGCTTACGCTGCCAGGCCTAGTATCGGCAGATAATGGCACCTACACTTGCGAGGCGTCGAACAAGCATGGCCATGCAAGAGCGCTCTATGTGCTAGTGGTCTATGGTGAGAGCAGGCAGAGGCAGGCTTGGGGGCGGGGCACAGGGGAGAGAAGGGGCACAAGGGAGAGGTGGGGCCCCTTGGGGTGGTCTCTGCTTTGTCTTGGGTGGAGCGGGGCTTGTGCAAAGTGATTCCAAGGGGTCTACAGCCCACAGAGTTCTTAAAAGTTCTGGGGGCAGACTGGCCGTTTGAGTTCAGGATAATACAATATTAAATTACAAGTAATTTAGTCTGTCTGCACCTTAATGTCCTTATAGGTAAAGTGGAAATAAACAATAGCGCCTATCCCATATTGTTGATGTGCAGACATATGAGCTAAATACAGAAGATACTAAAAAAATGCATAAACATTTTAAGAAAGGAAAAAAAACTATTAAAATTGTAATACTCAATGTATACAGATAACAAAAGATGAATACAAGTCACGTTTCACTTCTGCAATTACACGAGGTGCTCAAAGTGGTTACCATCAGCGTCCAGACCCTTCTGATTATAGCGGACTACTGCTTGAGCAACGTTGACCAAAGTGTCAACTTGTATACATTTTTTTGGCACCCCCATATATAAAGTGGTTGTAATGGCCCCTAGCAGAAAATAAACGTTACGTGTTTAGCTCTTATGATGGTGGGGCAGGAATTTTGGAAGTGGTTTGGCCCTAGCTCAGAATTTTAAATACCTGGAGCGTTTTAGACAAGATGAGAAGGAACTTGGACCTGAGGTTCCCCTGGGGAAAGAAACAGAAGAAAAGGGATGTGCTGTTTATGTTTTCTGGGAGGTGGGCTGAGGGAAGGCAGCAGGGCAGGTATTAGCAAAATGACTCAGGGACCTTATACAAACTAACACACATTCCTTGAGGAAATGGAGCATTAGGAAAGGGAAGTCCTGAGAAGGGTTCGCACGGTGGCAGTAATTTGAGGAGCGTGGCATGTTAAGGGGCACGATTAGATGTGGTGGGTGGAATGGTTTAACAGACTGGCAGCGATGGGGCCGGGCTGGGACCATTCTCTGATGAACTGGACCTGCGCCCCATCCCTCTGGCAGACCCCGGTGCGGTGGTAGAAGCACAGACGTCGGTGCCCTACGCCATTGTGGGCGGCATCCTGGCGCTATTGGTGTTTCTGATCATATGTGTGCTGGTGGGCATGGTCTGGTGCTCAGTGCGGCAGAAGGGTGAGTGGGGGCAGGGCCTGAATTCAACAGAGGGGGTGGTGGTTGATTGGGAAGGGGGCGGGGCTTAGAGCCCGAATTCGAAAGAGGGCGGAGCCTAGACCCAGAATTCAAAACCCGGTGGGACCTGAGGCCGAGAATCCAAAAGGGGCAGGTCTTTTGTCCAGGACTAAAAGGGGTGAAACGTTGAAGCTGAATTAAGGCCGTGGGTTTGAAAAAAAAATATTATCTTCCTAATTACTGGATTCGTTGGGAGCAGAGCAAGGGGATATCACCAAGAGAAGGATAAGGGTTGATCTTTCTGGAAATTTTTGGAGTTTTCCTAATTCTGCTTTACCTTTATCTCTGCCCGTTTTGCTATTCCCTGGACTTGATTCCCTCCCCCTGTGTTTTCTGTTTCTCCTTCTTCCTTCATCTGATGTCTATCTTTCTGTCTCCCTCTTCCCATACATTTATGTCCCAACTCCTGGGTCCACATGTATGCCTCCTCTGCTCCCGTGGTCTGTCACCCCTCAGGCTCCTATCTGACCCATGAGGCCAGTGGTTTGGATGAGCAGGGAGAAGCAAGAGAAGCCTTCCTCAATGGCAGCGATGGACACAAGAGGAAAGAAGAATTCTTCATCTGATCCCACTTCCACTCCAGGCCTGGGTCTGGACTGGGGTCCACCCCACTGCCAGCTGCAAAGACATTTATCAGAGTCTGGGATGGTGGGCATCTCCCCCCACCACTAACACCTCAGACATTTGGGCAGGGATGGGGGTGTTGGATGCCTGGGTCTCTGCAAGGGCCAGAAGCAAGGTCCCAGAGGTCTGGGTCCCCCAGGGGGCAGGGGCCAAAGGTCCAGATTCCCCAAGTCCAGGGAGGGTAGTAGGGATTGGGTTGAGGGAAGATAACTGGGGGAAGGCCAGGGCCCCTAGGCTGCAGAACCAGGTCTTGTGGGGAGGGGATCAGATTCTGGGAAGGGGGGGTGGGTAGGGGAAGGGGAGCACAGATTTCTTTGGGGGGTCTCAGACCCCATGCCAGCCATTGTAGGAGTTCCACAGAGCTCTGGGCACCTCTTTGCAAAGCCATGTTTGCACGGTGGGGGTAAGGGTGGGGGGAGGGTGTGGAAACAGGGATTCTGTGTCTTTGTGTCATAACTTTGATGGGGGTGGTAAGGGAGACAGCCTCAACCCTTTTCTCCAATCCCCCTTTCCTAGGTTCCTGGTCTCCCCTTCCTCCAAATCTGTCTCGCCCATATTTGTCTCCCTGTCTACCCTCCCCTGGGGGGGCCTTTCCCATCTCTCCTCCAGGCCCCCCCAGGGAGGGGAAAAGGAGTTTAGGGGGGTACGTTGGTCTCTATGGTTTTATATATAATATATTAAAAAAATCAAAAATCTGTATGAAAATATCAGATTGTGCCCCTTCCCCCATTCCTGGCTTTTGCCCCCTTTTCTTGTTAAAAAAACAAACAAAAAACAAAACACATTTTGTATGGGGCGGGAGGGGAATGGGGTGGGGGTTTGGCAATCCCACTAACCACCATTAAACTGAGGAGAGAACACATATTTGGTGTGGCTGTGTGTCTGTCCCTCTGCCTAGGTCTGCACCATGTTGGGAGCGGAACTGAACTAAGAGATGGGGAAAAAGTGTGATGGTTGTTGGTGGACAGTATAGGCCAGGAGAGAGTCCGTACCTCACCAATGGCACTTTAAACCTCCCAAGAAACCTAGGGTTTTTTCCCTGGATACTCCTTCAGCCAAACAGTCACAGAGTCTTTCCTCTTCAGCAGCTATACCATCCCCACCCCACAGCCTGGACCCTTCCGCTGGCTTACCCCCACCCCTGACATCAGTTTCTTGGGGAGCTTTCAATTACATCTCGCCCTGTGCCTGCCCTTTCCTACCTCCGCATCACCTCTAAATCAAGTCAAAGCTCCTAAGCCTGGCATTCTGGGGCCCCGCTTTCATTCATCTAAATTTTAAATGAGTGATTCTAATTTTAGATTAAAAAATATATTGACCTCCTTCTTTGTGCCAGGTGCTGCTCAAAGGTCTAAAGATGCCACTGTTGAATAAAACAGGCAAATGTTAGGTGTTCAGACAGTTTAGCACTAATCTGAAATGTGGTCCTGTTCTAAGGATTGAGGTCCCAAAGTGGAAAAGGGTGACTCCATGTTTACCCTCCATGTTTACCTTCATGAAGCGTTCATGAGAAAACAGACTATCAGCAAGGACTTAATTTCAGGTTGCCATTAAGATAAAATGCAGAGGAAGGGGATGTGGAATACAATTTTATTTTAACTTGTTATTTTGGAAAACTTCAAACATATACAAGTAGACAGAACAGGACAATGAAATCCCATGCATCTTTCACCCCAGCTTCAATAACCATCGGCTCACAGCCAATCCTGCTTTATCCACAACCCCACTCACTTCTCTAAAGCAAATCTCCATGTGCTATCTTAGAACATGGAAAGCCTCTCAGATTAACATCTGTGCCAAGATATGAATAGTGAGCACAAAAGCAGCTATTCGAAGATCAGAGGGAAAAGCATTTTCAGGCAAAGGGAATAGCAAGGGCAAAGGCCTGAGATGATAAAGAGACTGGGGTGTTTAATGGGAAGTGAAGTTAGTCAGGAATGAATAAAGAGGAGACAGGTGGGAAAATTCAAAGATAAACAGAACTGGACCATGTGTTTAGCCCCTGGACCATGATAAAGAGTTTGGATTTGTTCTAAGTATAATGGGATCCCACTGGAGACTTTTAAGCTGGTAAGTGAGTCTCTTCCAGGAAGTCTGGACTGCTGCAGTAGCTTACTATACCTCAGCATAAAGTCTGAGCTCTTAATGTCACCTGTAGGAGCCTTTCCCTCTCTAATCCTGGATTCCAGGCATACTATCTGCTTTCACTTCCTCAATCAAATCATGTACCATGTACTTTTCTTTTTTTGCCTCTATACCTGTGCTCTTACTGTTCTCTCTGCCAGAAATATTCCCATTCCAATTGGCTTTTGTTCAACCTTGGCTTAAAGATCACCACCTCCTGGAATCCTTTCCAGGCTGAGGCGGGCACCTCTGGCCCCCACAGCTTCCTATGCTCCTCCATTCATCCCAAGTCTAACCACTCTGGGTTGTAGTTCTGATTACATGATTACGTGTGGACCTCCTTCCTTTGATTGGGGCGCCATGAGGCTAGGGGTCGGGTATGTCTTGTTCACTGCGGAGAGCAGTAAACATTTATCCTAGTTGGAGTTGGAGGGTTGGTAAGGGTCGTGACCCTTGTGCCCCTCTCCGGATGCAAACTGATCCCAACTAGACCAAGGCTTAACCGCTTAGCGCTAGTCCGTAGTCCTTGTGCGCACGCGCTTTGTTCAGGCGCGCCCCCCGCCTCACATATGCTAATCACTGCGCTCTGGAGTGCGGCCTCTCGGGGGAATATGCAAATAACCCCTTTCACTGCCCGAGGCCTCCCATTGTCCCGCACTAAGATTATGCAAATAAGTAGGCTTTAGGTCCAGGATCCGGGCCCTGCAGGCGACCCCCACCCCCAGCGCATCCTATCTTCCATAAGGCGCGTTCCTGCTCCGCTCACGCACGCGCGAGCCCTGCAGTTTCTTGTTCGGTTGGGCTGCGGACTGTACCAAAGAAACCCGGACAGCGAGGGGCAAAGCTTGGAACCCCCTGCCCGCGCCTCGTCGATGGCACGACTCGGATAGCCCCCAATCACACTGTGAGCCAGGAATGGTCCATCTCGCCGCGCAAGCGCCCTAGGCTCTTCACGCCCCTCGCGCTCCCTCCTACTCCACTTGCAGCGCAGGCGCCGAGCCCGGGCGTGCAGCCGCCGCCGCTGCCGAGCCGGAGCGGGGGCCGCCCTCGCCGGTGAGTGTCCGTGATCGAGGTTCGCGGGGCATGCTGGGAAGCGGGCGCTACGGCACCGCTGCATGATGGGAGTGACGGCTCCCGTCACCGAGGAGCCGGCAGCAGTTTTGGGCCTGAGGGCGAGACCTAGGCTCCTTTTTCTCCCCCAACTCGGCTCCGTGCCGTCCTGGGGCATACTGGGAAAAGGGGCGCCCGGCCGTAAACGTTGTTGGAGTCTATCAGCTAGTCGTTATAGGACTGATGCATTCTAGGAAGGGTCATCCTAGCTCCTTGCGGGGAACCGGTCCCTTTTGTCACACACCCTCCGCTGAGCATTTTGGAAACTTGGATGCTTCGACGCAGAGCACACTGGAAGGTGGTCATTATAAACCTGAGGCATCCTGGGAAGAATTGCCGCGGGCCATTGTGGGGACTGGTCCTTATTGTCCCGTACAACGTTTTGCACTGGCTTCTTTACCTCAGCATTGTGGAAAGGGGTGCCTATTGTATTATGTTCGCGCAGGGCATCTTGGGAGTTGATTGGTACAGGCTCAAGACATTGTGGGGTCTTGCCCACATGGTATGAGGGAGCCTTATTTATGCCCCTCTTAAGATCATGGGAGCCAGTCTGGCTGCCATCATCATTTTAGGAATGGGATTTGTTCACCAAGGAATTCCTCCACCTGATATATGGAACACTCTGGAAGGGGCCTTGTGTGATGTGGGCTTGGAGAAGGGTAGGCTAGACTGGAGCAATGTCTCATGAAGTCCCGATTGTGCCTGGTTGCCAGTTGAAACATAGAACGCCCAGTTAAATTTGATTTCAGATAAATGTACATGCATGGAACGTATGTATATTAAATAATTATTTGTTTATCTGAAATTCAACTGGACCTCGTCTGTTTTTATTTACTAAACCTGGCAACCTTATCCTGACATAAAGTAGAATTCCAAATTAAATGGGGCCCTACAGGCAACAGGGTACTATGAGAAGTATCCTCTGCCAGTTGTGAATCTTCTCTGTCCTTAAAACCCATATCCAGGTATCTTTAGAAAGCTCCCCTGCCCCAGCCTCGTTTGGACTTCAAACCTAATCTTTTTCTCTTTAGCCCCAGCATTAAACTTTACCTCCAGGCTCTGAAGGGATCATGTCTTTTCCACCATTGTATACCTAGTGCCCAGCAACAGGCCTTGGCATATAAGAGGTGCAACTGAGGCTGCCATCCCCCTTCACTAACTTGTTCTGCTTAGCTCTCCCTGTTTGGCAGTGCAGTGGGAGACAAAGAAGTGGGTATGTGTGTGTATGTAGGGAGGTATTGGTGAAGAGGGAGAGAAAGGAGAGGAGTTAAGAGAAGGCTTCTTGGTAGAAGCAGAGATGGTATATGGGCTGGGAAGAAGTACAGAAGTTCTTGTGTTTGAGGTGAGGTTTGAAGGGTGAGGAGTGACAAAGGGGAAGGAGGACATTCTAGACAAGAACAGCAGGGTTTGCTAAAACCCACAGATATGAGAAGTCCTGGTGTGCACAGGGAGAGGTGAGAAGTCTGGAATGGTTTATAGAGTCGGAGATGGGAGTAGTAATAGCCTGTTAATGGAGTACCTGCCATGTATGAGCAACTTATATGAATGAACCTACTGAATCCTCGAAAAATATTTTCAGCCGAGGATTCATTTTATGAGAGATAGGATGACGTGGCTTCAAATCCTAGTTCATGTACCTACCAGTTGGTGTGACCTTGGGCTACTTGTTAATCCTCTCTACCTCCATTTCTTCATCTATACAGAGGAGATAATCTCTCTCGACATGGATGGCTATGAGGAATACATGAGTGAAGTCCTGGAAGCCCTTTTTGTACCAAGAAGGAGACAGACTGGAGAAGTTTAGGTCCTTTGCTTAAAGCTACACAGCTAGAATATGGCAGATTTAGGATGCAAACCTAGACACTCTTGCCAAGGTATAAATTGATATAGAACTAGGACTGACATTCACGGACTAGTGCAACCATACCAGTTGTTTAAATATTTAAATACTTCTAGACTGGTTGGTATATCACCACTACACCAAGTAATCTGTACACCCAACTGCTAGTTTGGACCCTCCCTCAATTCCAGACTTGCCCACAATCCAAAAACTAAAGGATTAATGCCTGGCATAGGACCATGTTCCACCCTCAGTTCTGATTGGTGCCCATGCTTGTTCCCATCTTTAAATATTTGGAATATTACCTTCCCCACCCTATTGAATAGGAACCACAGACAGCTTTGTTGTTCAGGTGGGTAAATTAAGGCCTACAGAGGGGCAGGGCCTGCGTCAAGGCCTCAGAGGCAGTCAGGGACAGAGCAGGGGCCATCTTTGCCTTGCCCCCAGCACTGAGCACACAGCTGAGCCTGGGGATGCAGATGCAATGTAAACATTTATTGACTCAGGCCTTTCCTTCCCCTGTCCAGCATCCCTCTACGTGCTGACATCTTGCATTAGAGAACTGTGGCCGAGGTGTGGCTTTGGAGAGCTGGCCGGGGAGGGACACTGCCCAGCTGCTGCTCTGCTTCTGTCTCCTGTCCCTGTCGCCTGGCCATGACAGAGACCCGTGAGCCAGCTGAGACTGGGGGCTACGCCAGTTTGGAAGAAGATGATGAGGACCTCTCTCCAGGTGAGATGGCTTTAGAGGTGGTAGTGTTGGCTTGAATCTCATCCTGGCTTGGGATTGGGGCTCCCCTGAGAAATCTTGAGGGGTATTGGCTTCCTGTCTCAGTGGGTGTTCTATTCTCACTGAGACCCTGTGCCCTGCTAAGGGATCCCTTCCAGCTGAGACTTCTGGGGGTTGTAGATTGGCTGTGAATGCTCTCCTTGCTGGGGGTTCTAGATCGGCTGTGTTCTCTGTCCTTTCTGGGAGTTCTAGTTCCACTGTGATCTCTCTCCTTTCTGAGGGTTCTAGTTCGGCTATTATCTCTTCTTTCCTTGCCAGAACTTCTAGTTCTGCTGTGATCTCTCTGTTTTCTTAGGGTTCTAGAGCGGCTGCGATCTCTTCTTTCCTTGCT